AAAACACTCATTACCGAGTATAGATGGACTCGCATGAACTAAATCTTTTTCAGTTGAAAATCAGAGATGTTATAGTGAGTGGAATTTTTCATTCACTCCTCTTCAATTTTGAAGTTTTCTTTCTCGGCCGTCTTGACCAAATATCTGGCCATCAGGCTACCGAAAATAATTTGAGTAATTGACAGAGTCCTGCCAGTGTACCCCGGCAAAGCAATCATACTGTAGGATCTTACAAGATTCTTACAGGATCATTAAGATCGTACTTTAAGATCATGTATGTTCTTGCAAGATCGTACGAAAATTATATACGATCTTGTACGATTTGGTATGAAAATCATTGTCACCACGTATCAGACGAATATCGTACTGTAAGATTCTTGTAAGATTTTACTACAAGATCTTGTAACATCATATACGATCGTAGAAGATCATACTGTAAGATTTCTGCAGTATTTTATACGATTCTCTGCTGCATCCTGCAGCCGTTGGCAAGCTCCTTGCACTCCACTCTATTTGCTTTTTTGTCGAATGCGTACGTACATTGTTCGGGCATCATCAACGTACTATTATTCACTGACTTTTTAAACATCACGTGCAAATCACCGTTAATCATGATATGTTTTTGGAATTTCTGAATCTGGAGTTGTTTGAATTTCTAACTCTTTTTCTCTTCGCATAAGTAAAGAAGGGAGCCCACCTTTCCACTGCTTTTGGTCCACTGCTCGTTCGTATTAGTTATGATCACATTTTGTAGAGGAAGCGATTTACACATTTCGAAGTGCATATGAACCATTATAAGATTATGGAGACTTTTTAAAATAGCGTTTCTGAGAAGGTACATAAAGCATATGGTACCTTAACAAAAACGATTTTGTTCAAATCTAATATAAAATTACGGTAAAGCTTGATATAGAAAAATAGTCCTTGAAAAACTCTACAATATTCTGATTAAACGAATCCTGTATGTCATTGACTCAATCCTCTATAGGCTAAATACGAGACCAATGACATCTAAAAGTCAACACAACTGATGCTTTAGCCAATTTACTCTCATAAATAAGAGAGGATCCAACTAGTCTGTAGTATAGAAAAATAGCTCTTGAATATGTAATATCCTAGTAGTTATGCCATGTGGTTCTCGTTTTCGATCTGACTGTTCGTAAGGCAGAGGCGGTGAAAACCTTCAGACTTTATCCAGATGTTCAAGATAAAAGATCACTAGGCAGACATGTATCGAAAACTTTTACAAGGAGGGATATCACCAAGAATAAAACATTTCTCTCCAAGAATATATTTTTGCGTCTTCGAGTCCACTTCAGAATGTTGATGATCTATGGCTCTCTCTCGCTATGGTTCCATAATTCTGCCACTATTCAAAAAATTCTACTTGAGTTCGCAAAAATTCTGATAAAATGTCGAATATTTTCCAAATATCTGTTGATTTGGATAAAATTCTGGGAAATCTGTGACTTGTGAAAGTATAGCAATGATTTAGCGTCTCATGTAGATCATAAACTGCCGTAGCTATAGAGAGCCATGGAGATCATTGCATGCGTTGTTAGAGTTTTATATTGTTTCTGCGCTCTCTGTATGTATTCATTTTTCTCTTTTACGTTCTTTGTTCGTGGATTTCGTTTTTCTTATCTAGAATATTCATTCTAGAGATATATACATGTCGTATGTATATATAGTGTAGTTGTTCTACATGAATGGGTTATGGTAATATTTCATTCTATACAGTTAAAATGACGTTCATCAAAATTCAGCTTGGTAACAAGAAGTTTTGCAGACGTCTCAAACGCATAATAGTTTACTCGGTCGGTAATGTAGAAAATGAACTGAAACATTTGGTATTTTCAAAAAACTCCAGTTCTGTTCTTTAAAGAAAAAGAAACTGAATGAAGAAAGACGAAAAGCTTTAATACTTTTTCATAGCCTCAGAGTAATTGAAATTATCACTTGACTTAAACTGGTCCATTTGTCTAGAAACTTCACGAAAAAAAATCTAACACGATCAATAACAGAGAGAAAGATGAGCAGAAAAGTGAAAATAGTAACTGGATGCAAAAGCGAGAACGCAAATACAAAATTTGCCATGGTCGAAAAACAAACAAATAATGAACAGTGCATCGGTCATCCTGAACAGAAGGATATAAACGAAATACCGAGCAGAGCCAAACCTTTTCAAAAACGAACACAGTCACTAAGGCAGAGTGGAGATCAATTCTAGTTAAATCAACTTAGGTGTACACTCTACAGTTTATTTTTAATAAGAACAACATCATTAGGTTTAGAAGTCTCAAAAAGTAGCCAAAACATTGATCCGTTCTGTCTTTTTCTTTTCGTTCTCTGACACTTGGATACTTGCGCAATTAAAATTTTTCTGAAAACACAGCTTTGTAGAGCAAACATTTCTGATCAAAATAAGACCTCGTACAACTCTGTATGACCTTGCATCAAAAAGTTGCAGGCATTTCCCTAGAGGTCCTAAAATCAATTAACAATTTTTGTTTCTTTCGAACAGTTGTTAGAATTTTATTTGTGGCTTGTTGTCTAACATTTTCATGACAAAATATAAAAACGGGTGACTTGCAATTATTACCTGGATTATTCAACCTGCGAACTGGTGTTGAAGGAGCAGATTGATTATTTATTGGAAAGAAGTCGCCGTTTTGTGATTCATCATCTCCTTCATAGCTAAAACAGAATTTGCTGCTGCTAATGCTTCATCAATAAGTATCTAGTTATTAGTTGATTCACCTGATTCAGAAATACAATAAGGGCAAGTACGCATATCAATCAAATCGATCTGAAGACGAGTTAGGATACCAAGAGATAGTATCGGCTAACTTACAACGGGTGTTTTTACGGGTTTTCGATTCTGGTATGGTAAACAATACTTCAGATAAATCTCTACAACAATTTTGGGTATCGTCGAGTAATGAGCTAAAATTTCTGCTAACGTTCTGCTAAACGAGGTCTTACCTGCAAGTTTTACGTACAGGTAAAGGTAAGAATGTGTTAGGTGTGAGGGTGAGGGTTTTTAAAGGTTGAACAGCGAAATTCTGACTGGAGATCGGAATGAGAATGCCTGGAGGTTCGTAATGACAAAGATAGGGAGGTCGTAATGAAAACTACAGGATGTTCGTATTTATGTACTCACCTTTGAGAGAATGTGAAGTGACACGCTAGTCTTGCAGCCTTAGATGATGATTTTACGAGCTCCGGGCAATGGCATTCCATTCTTCCAGTCTCTTTCTGTAAAAAGTCCCTTAGACTTAGATTCCGAACACCTGACCTTGTTCATTACAATCTCCGGGCGGTACATCGGATATAACAAGGAGCATTCTATTCCGAACATCCGGTCAAACCATTCCGATTTCCCTGCTTTTCCATTACGATCTCTCTTACAAAAATGTTTAAGAACTGTCATAAATCTTCTAAGGACAAAAATTCATTTTCGAACACCCGGATACATGTCTGGAGTTCGGAATGACTTAAGACGAAAACTAAGGCACCCGACATTGAGTAGGTATTCAAATTAGTGAAGTTGATCGAACAAATATTGATGTTAAATTGCTGCCATGTTTAATTCTTTCAAAATATAAAAAGGATGATGATTCCATTTTTAGAACTGCATACAAATTTGGTAAACTTGCGATCGCGTATACGGTTGAAAGCTTGATCGATTTGCGATCGGCATGTTCATCAGATTCAAAACTAAATGAAGTAAGTTCTCTTCGTGAAATAACATTAATCGAAGATGCAAAATTATTGGTTCGTGGTGCTGTATCCGGTGTAACATGCGATTGTAAGACTAAATGTGGGACGAAACATTGTCCATGTAGAAAAGTAGGAGTGGTATGCTCAACAAAATGTCATGTTAAATAGCGTCGATGTCTGAATTCAACTTAATTAAAATTTTGCTTGCCTGTTTATTTTTAGGAAATGTCCAAAAATCAGTAGAATTTTATCAAAAAAATTATACAAGTTGAAATTTACAAAAATATGCATGTTTTATTTTTCACTGTACAAAGTACCTCACAAAACGTTTTTTATTATATTCATATTTCCTCAGCAAATGATAAATGTGGAAAAATTCAAAATAAAATTATAAAATAACAAAACAAAAATTTCAAAAACGTTTCGTGATTGTGCCTGCGTATAATATATTTTTTCTAAAGGCATTTCTAATTTCGACTAGCCTAATCCCAAATCAATACAAGTTAACTTATAAATTAATAATGGAGAATTTCCAGCTAGAATTTCTTTCTTTCAATTGGTATAAACGAAAAACTCTTGCACCATTGGTAGAAGAGTCGAAAAAAAACGTGTTGGCCTAAGTACACTTTCAAATGTATGACTGATCACAGCGAAACTATTTGATATATAAAAGTGCTATTTCTATACTACTTGGTCACATTCAATCCAGTTGCGAATGCATTGCTGCTGTCTGATGTACAATGAAGGAAAAAACAGTGAAGTCAATTATATTATTCTTCATGCAACAAACAAAAACACTATACAATTTCAGAAACAAAGTAAGCTGCATTGAATCTGAAGCAGAACATTGCACAAAAAAGTATTTTTAACACAAAGCATGGCACAGTCGCATCCGACTTCACATTGCGATATTTTTTTAAAAATCTGAATAGAGCCGTATCAAATAAGAGATATCTTCTTTCTGTCCTGCACGTGCCGCATCACATTTCTCGTTCATTTCTGACACAACAAAACAAAAGAAACCAGAATGAAAAAAGTTCGTTCTCTTGCGTGTCCGTGTATGGCAGTAAATTATCATCTATAGATATACGATTAGAAAAAAAAGATATCTAAGGGCATATAAAAGCACATCGTATTATCACATTATTTCTTTTTGTATATAGCAAAAGAAGAAGCACGCAGGAGAACGAAAATATATGTTGCAGTGGAAATCAGAATCTAGGGCAATTTAAAATTCCCCTAGGGGAAATCGAAATTTCGAGTTCGCCTGAAAGAATGTTAGTAGAAATCAAAATTTTGACTTCCCCTTAGGGCAATTTTAAATTCCCCTAAGGAGTGTTTGATTGATATTTAACATACTGATATTGATATTTTATTTAATTTATAAATAATAATAACTTAATTGATATTTTATTAATATTATACATTCAAACATGAACATTTGTTTTTGGATCACACTTTGTACAACACAAAATATCTTTAGTTTTACATGGACAAGCTTTGGTTGGACATGTAGATTCACAATTACAAGTTGAAGCGCCTAAATTAGCATACTCTTTACATGCTTAAATGAAAGTTATTTGTGGTAAGATACTTGGACTAATTAAACGTAAATCAGAAAAATTACATGCTATTAGATTTAATAATTCTTCACTACTATACCTTGGTGAAACAACACCAGCTGTAGTAATACATAGCTTATACATGACAATTCCATCTGTAGTACCATTTGTTGTTGATTGAATAGAAGCAACTGTTCATGGTAAAATTGACAAAGTATTTATGATGAATCACATAGATTAAAAGAATACAAAGTAGGGCATTTTGCTGGTTTGAAAATAGATAAAGTTGATCGTTCAAATGTTAAACCCACAATTTTATCATATAAAGTTGTACAGCTGGTGTTATTTCACCAAGGTATAGTAGTGAAGAATTATTAAATCTAATAGCATGTAATTTTTCTGATTTACGTTTAATTAGTCCAAGTATCTTACCACAAATAACTTTCATTTAAGCATGTAAAGAGTATGCTAATTTAGGCGCTTCAACTTGTAATTGTGAATCTACATGTCCAACCAAAGCTTGTCCATGTAAAACTAAAGATATTTTGTGTTGTACAAAGTGTGATCCAAAAACAAATGTTCATGTTTGAATGTATAATATTAATAAAATATCAATTAAGTTATTATTATTTATAAATTAAATAAAATATCAATATCAGTATGTTAAATATCAATCAAACACTCCTTAGGGGAATTTAAAATTGCCCTACAGGGGAAGTCAAAATTTTGATTTCTACTAACATTCTTTCAGGCGAACTCGAAATTTCGATTTCCCCTAGGGGAATTTTAAATTGCCCTAGATTCTGATTTCTACTGCAACATATATATATATGGAGACAGAGATAGAAAAACCATTAATAGGACGAAAAAAATTAGTTCATTTCATTAGTCCATTCAGAAAAAAACAGGTCTAACTATCACTATCAGAATCATTGTTTGTATTATTGGTAGCGGCAGCGTTATTAACATTCTGATTATTTTTTGACTACTCAATGTCGGTTCTCCAACTAACAATAACAAAGCACGAACAACTGCTTTCAGTTGCATTTTTTTGTGTATACATTTCGTGTAAACGACGTATTTGCTCCGTCTTGCCTCTAGCCTTTTTAGCACTTTTTGAAGTATTTTTAACACGACATAGTAGACCGGCTTCCAGTTTTGCAATACATGTACTAACTAAACATTCCGGACATGGTCTGATAATACATCTCCAATTGGTAATACCTTTTGATTCAACTTTATTCATAATAACGTACTGATAGCCAGCAATAAGAATCATGGCATTTCCATATTTTGTTTTTGACCATGTCATTGTATTAATATCGAGTACATCTGGTCCTACCACCTACAATACAAAAAAAACAACCACAGCTCACTTGCATGTGAAGTGATGAAGACCTTTTTTCTATCCCGGCCTTGAGTACCTAGCTAACAGTCACTTACCAAAGACTCCTCATTATTATCATTTTTTGTACAAAGTGGAGGCGACATTGAACTAAGCAATGGGCTTCCTTGTTGAGGTGATGATGTACTGCTAATAACAGCTGAGCGTGACGGCAATGTATCAATAATAGGAAGATTTAATTTATTTAGTTGTGGAGCCGTTACATTTTCTGATGATCCCGTAACATCAACTAAATCAGACATAGTATTCTTTATGTTCGTGCCACTTTTTCTTGCAGCACTGCGTGTCAACATGGTAATTCGTTACATGAACGATTATAGAAATTATTAAATATGGACTCTAAAATGAAGAAATTTGCAACTGAAAAAACAATAGGTAGCTTAGTCAGTAGCAACTTTTTATTTTGGAAAAATATCATCCTGTCTGAAGCCATCACGTTATATGTGAATGTTCCCTGTTGTTCGGACTCCATGCAGTGAAAAATCAATGCAGTCCAATATATCAAATATTTTACAGCATTTAGAAAAAAACAGTTCAGATTGGTGTGAGAAAACGGATTTTTATGCCAATTGTACAACTCCTGTTTTATAGATCAATATTGGTATAAAAAATCAGTGTTTATGCCAACGTTGGTGTAAAAATTTTTTTATATCCATTGGCAGAAGTCCGATTGGTATAACGCCACGATTTCGTCAGATTCTAAATTTGGTTGAACAATCTTCAGCCAAAATTGAAATTTTAATTTTCACTAAGAGTCGTCAGCCAAATTTTTGACTGAATTTTAATTTGGCTTCAACATATGTGCGCTTTTAATGTGTCTTTATTACATCAATTATCCCTTGCGTGAAAAGAAACGTACTTTAAACGCCTTTTTATTTCTGTTAAGGGAACTAAACAGCAGAAAAGCTCACAAATTATGTATGCTCATAAAAAAGAAGTATATTATTTATATGAAACATAATTTTACGAATAATGCTATTGCAGCTACACCGGTGCTGTATCCAACATAGTCACTGTTTTTCAATGTCATCTTCTGAGATGCTCCATGTTTTCTCTCCAACAAATAACCCTCCCTCTCTTCTTTTTTCTCCTTTGATTTTATTCGGAAAATTAAGTTATTTTCAATGAAATAAGGTGAAAAAAGAAGAGAGAATAGTTAAGCACAAGTTATTCTTTCTTTTAAGGAAAACCCAACTATAGAATTACCACCGTTTGAGTTTACGGCTAAAGCCTTGAGTTTTCTTGAGGGTATAGGCCCACTTAAAGTAAGAAAATTATGTCAAAGATATTAGTATTAAAATCTAATAAGTTTAAATAAACTCGTAGAGATTATGAGTTAACTTTAATAAACTAAGGATGGATGGGGAGGGGGGTTATTTTTTCATAGGAGGCTTTCTTTTTTTTAGTCATTAAAATATCAATGTTTTATATTTAGACCTTAAAATTATTAAGTTAATTTTTAAGTATCAGAGTTTCAAACACTGAGCAGCATCTGTCTTTCGTAAGGATAGTAGCTTGAAGAGTGAGGAAAAGTGAGAAGCACACAAGTCTAAACAGCTTTACGTCAAGAATTTGTCAGCTAGAACTCTACAGCAAACTTTCACAGCATGTCGGACAGCGAGACTATAAGCGATTTTGATTCAATAAGTGTCGCTGTCCCCAGCAACCCATGGAACGCTTTTATGGTATTTACGTCACCGCATGATGCATTTTGCCCAATCATGCATAAATTCTGTCTTATACCAGTTGCATGCTGCATAACATACTTTGTAACAAAAATGATTTGTGCAGTCAACTGTGACGAGTCATACCTCTATTCTGTATTGTTATATACAATTTAAGGCTTTCTTTTGCTAAAATCAAACGTATCAAAATTATTGACGCATCACTTTTCTCATTAAAAATAAGCGATTCAATACTCTTTTAGGGACCAGCAATAATTATCTTCCTATAATTTATGTTATTCCATTCGAACAACATATTTTATTCTGTAAGTAATTGATAATGATATGACGAACAGAAAAAGTTAATAGTAAGCAGGTACTTCACCTTTAACTAACAACCGATAAATGCGTTACCGTTCCCATATTAACAACTATATTCAGAGACCCAGCGCATGGGAGAATCGTACTTGATTTCAACGATATGTCCAAGTGAATAATATCATTTGCTTAATTAACTGGTTAGAAAATCACTTTAGATTTGAGATTAGAGCCAAAGGGTCGTATTATTATGACGAACCAACACTGGTGTTCGAAGTATAACATTGATCTATGCTTAACCACTAATCAGAGATGAGCGAGCAGATCCGATGAGACCTTGACGAGACAAATGGAATTCCTGATTTAAGGTTTATTAATCGATACTCCAAACTTTTGAATAAAAGTTATTCAAGCTGTAGTTGAAGCTTTAAGTTTCGATCAGACGAACGAAGCCAGATAGTTTGCTTATCGAATCTCGCTCGACAGTCTGACACTGATAAGCACCCCAAAACGGCTTCTCATGCTATTAATATAATTCATATCATGACACATGCGAATCTCAACAAATAAATATGGAACACTTTGCTTCTCTTCACCTCCGTTTCTGATTCATTGGAGAATGTAGTTTCTGTTCTTAGCATCCACTGTATCGTCAAAGAGTTATTTAGGAAAAGCCTTAGTGACTTGATAAGCAATCAAGAACGACCTCCGTCTTTTTCGAAAAAATATTTATCCCTAATGGAGCAAGCACAAAAGTTCTTTACATAACTTCAGCGCCTAGTGTCTCTCCCATCTAACATCCAATTTGCTCTTAATAATGGTGCTCTCTTTTATGTGGTAGACTAAAGACATTAGCGCTCCTTGAGCCGATGTCTGTTAACTTCGAGTATGAGAAATGATACACCAGACTGACGCATAATGCTGTTCTTTTGGTAATTGTGAGTTTGGATATCTAGCTATTAGGTAAAAGATTGCAGCGCAAATTCTAGTCTAACTACATTTAATTTATAATCACAACATTATTATTTTTATTTATGAAGAGATCTTGCAAACACGTTTCTAACAAAGACCGACAGTTTTTCGCATCTTCTCTTTGCTCACCGGTTTTGTGAAGGGATGAAAATACGCCAAACTCTCCAAATAGAAATGAACCGATATTGTCGGTTCTTTTGCACCACACAGATGGACAAACAGACTATTGTGTTAGAAAAGTCTTCGCCTTCTGCTAATGAGAGATTAGTCAAGTATGATAGCTCTTACTCGAATGACTTTTTCAGCATTCCATACGTTTATGAAATTCGTGTGCTGTGAAGCTGTAGTCTTGAGAAAAGTCCCTTCTTTCGAATTTTCAGATTAGCGGCACGAAGAAATGCAACTTCGAAGAATGCTCATTTTCTGTGCCGCACGTACCTCATGAACTACCCTTTGCCTTTCCTTGTGGCTTCTCGTGATGGCTTTATGTGAAATATGGACGGCTTCACCGAATCCCATTGTGCCTTTAAGTGGCTTATCTAGGTGATTCTTCTCGATGCTCTAAGTGGGATCTTGAAGT